AATTTATGTTGGTTTAATACAGAAAGTAAATTATGTGAAAAATTTAATCCATTAAAAGGAAGATGTGTTTCTTATATGAATTAATCAACTTGTAATTTATCTATGGTTGAATCATGTATATGGAAAGATTTAAAATGTTAAATTGAATTGATTCCATAAAAATGTGAAGGTTTAAATAAATTTGGATGCTTAAATTTCTAATAATTAACTTGTGTTTGGTCTGATACTTTATTAAAATGTGAATTAGCTAAATTCCTTGATAAACCAGAAAGTTGTATTTAATTCTTAATTAATTAATCTGAAATATCACATATGAATGCTTAAACTTGTACTTAAATTAATGTTAATAAAAGTTGTATATTAGCATAAACCTATAAGTGTAGAGAAATATAAGAACCATAACTTTATCAATGTGAAACTTAAGGATTAAATTATAATGCTTGTCTATTAAAAACTAAAAATTCTTGTGCTTTTAAAAATTATAAATGTATAACAATCTAAAATGTCAATGAAGGTTGTAAAGATTATTTAAATGAAGTAGCTTGCTTGATGTAGAATGCAATCTGCAAATTTAATAAAGAGGTATGCTCAGATTTTAAATTTAATTCTATTTATGATATTATTGATAATAAATTTGCACCTTATTCAATAAAGGTTTGCTTAATTTTTAATGAGGAAATAGGTTTAATTTATAGTGTCATTTAGAAGAGATGTTTAAAAGTTGATAACTTAAATAGAATCTTGACTGACTGCACTCAATTTGGAATTAACAAATACACATGCTTAAACAAAGTAGAATCTTTTTGTGAATTTAAGGATAATAAATGTTAGCATATTAACCCTTCAGATATTACACTTTGTTTAAATACATTAAACTAATTTGCATGTACTTAATCAAGTAATGTATTATGTAAATTTTAAAATAATTAATGTAATGTATTTAGTGAGACAAATGATTTTAATTGTGCCTTATAATAGTCTAAATAGCTGAGTAATCCAAAAATATGTTATGCAGATTAAAAAAATCCATGTTTCTTTAATGGTAAAACAAGATAATGTCAATTAGTTGAAGAAAAATCAATTCAAATAGAATGTAATGGATTAAACAGGAAAGCTTGTATTTTTAATTCATAAGAATTGGTTTGTCTATATAATGAAACTGATAAGAAATGTGAAGGTTCATATGGATATTCAAAATGCAGCGATTTGGTAAATAAAAATAAATGTTTATCTATCATTACGAAAGGACAAAGTTGTTAATTTAATGACACTGAAGGTTGTCAATATCTTGATAAATCAGTAGATATTTTTAAATGTGAAAAGTAAATTTAAACAAATCCTTATACTTGTTCCTAAAGTTTGGATGTTCCTTGCTTTTATGATAAACAAACAAAAATGTGTATTTAATATAAAACTTTAGAAAATCTTAATAGTATTAATAATTCATCTATTATTTCAAACTACTAATTATCTAACATTGATTCTTTTAACAAACAAACTTGTGAGTAATTTTAAAAAGAAATATTTTTACAAGACTCTCAACTAATTTATAAAGATGTTCTTATTTTTTGGAAGGAATCTTGCATTTAAATTCAAAGTGCATAATTATTCTAATTATAATGCGATTAAAATCTAAATTTGAATGCATGCATTAATATTAAAACTCAATTTTAATATTGCTAATATATAAATAATAAATGCATAAATGTTGATTTAAAGGATTATATAAATACACCATGCGAGTCTATCAAAAATATAAACTCAGGGGCTATATGTGCTTAGACTTTAGATGTTGCTTGTTATTTTGATCCTTTTACTTTTAGTTGCAAAAGTCTTAAAATTGATTCTTCAGATATTCAATAAATTCAGTGTGTTGATAAAAATCCTGAATAAAAAGGGTATAACAAGTAGGCTTGTAGTCTAGATTAAAATAATTGTATATTTAAGGAACAATGTTATAAAATTAATAAGACCATTATACAATTTTGTGAGGATGCGACAGATATAATTTAATGTTAAAAAGTATAAAGAGAAGGATGTTAGTTTTAATAAAATAGATGTATTAAGATTTAATTTTCTGATTATTACTCACTTCCATGTGAATTAGCTATTAACAGATAAGGATGTATCAATATTTAAACGAAGGGATTGTACTGTTAATATTTAGAAGAAAAATGTATGTCTCGCGATTTAATGGATATAAGATAAATTGAATGTCTCGAAGTCAAAAATATTAATCACTATTCTTTTTGTGAATATCCTCAAGATGAAGGTTGCGTTTATGATTTCTAATCTTAATCATGTTAAATTGTATCTTCAATGGAAGATCTTATATGTTAAAGAGGAATAAATAGAATAGCATGTTTAAAATAAACAAATAGCTAATTAAATTGCTAATTTATAGATTATTGTTATGATCCTAATTATGGGATCTAAAAGTGTACTAATCCAAATAAAAGTTTATGTTGTAGAGAGGCAGGCTCAATAGAAAATTGCTTAAATTAACAGCTATATAAATGTTAATGGAATAATAATGAATGTTAAAATTATTTAGATAGTTAAAATTCTAGATGTGATGATATCAAATTCTCAAGTTTACTTACTTGTATTTCTATACAGGATAATTTTTGTATATATGATTCAATAAATCATATATGTAAATCTATTGAACCTACATCTTGTGATTAATTATAATCACCAAGTTAATGTAGCAGAATACTGACTTTACCTTGTATATGGTACGAAGAGGAACAATAATGCATGTATCTTGAAACTTAAGATGATAAAAATGGTTATATTTCAATGGGAAGTTCAGCCTAAATGAATTGTGAAGATATAACATATTAAAATGGAAGTTAAAGAGCTTGTATGAATATTGAAAGATAAGGGTAAATGTGTATATATAAAGATAATAAATGTGCAGCTTTTGAATAAGATGAAACTTAGAATAATTGTTTAGATAATATTAATATTAATTCATGTTTATAACAAAAAATAAGTGATTGTTATTGGAATATCTAATTAGTTAAAGTCAAAAAGACTATTTAAAATAATGAATCAGAAGAAAAATATGGAAACTGTATTAAATTTGTTTAATATGAATCAAGTGGTTGTGATTCTAAACTTAGTTACACATCTTGTCTAAAAATTATAAAGGAAGGGATAAATTGTAGGTGGAAAAATTAATAGTGTTAAACTATTGATGATAAAGAATTAATTATATTTTAACCTTCATATCTATTTGAGGTCAATGTAAATGCTTGTGGTTTAATAAATAATGGAGACATAGTAAAATATGATAAAAATATGAGATTCTGTATTAAAGTTGATGATGTTTAGACTTTATCATGTCAAACAGAAGGATTAAATAAAGAAGCTTGTCTTAATATTAAATTTTAAAATTGTTTTTGGGATCCTACAAGAAGAAAATGTAGACATTAATAACTTTTAATAGATGAAAAATTAAATTCTTGTAAATTATAAAATTTGTCTTCTTATTTATGTTCATAACTAAAATTAGATTTACCATGTGGATTTATGAAAGATGGCTGTGATTTTGTTGATTTAGACTAAGTAAAATGTACTTATGAAGGATTGAATAAATATGCTTGTCTAAATATTAAAAAATATCCTTGTATTTGGTTAAAGAATTCAAATAATGAAAATTTTCATTGTGAAGATTATTTATAATATCTACCTTGTGATTAAATACCATCAAATGTTAATTCAAAAGTTTGCTCTATTGTTAAAAATGGTGCTTGTTATTATGATTAATAAAATTTGAAATGTGAAATTCCCAATGAGGATTAAAAAAGTTGCTCATTGACTGGATTAAATATTATTGGGTGTGTTAAAATTGAAAATTGCTTTTTTGATTAAAATTGCTAGTTATTAAATAAATAATAATATATATGTGAAGAATTTCCAATTGCTAATAAATTAATTTGTAAAAATGCTGTAGATTCTTGTAAATATAATGAATTTTAATATGGATGTTCACATGCTTTCGACGAATTTTGTTCTAATGATTCACTAAGTGAATAAGGATGTTTAAGTTAACCAAACTGTGTACTTTAAGCATAAAGATGTCAATGTAGAAAGTTTGTTGAAATTTATGATTGTACTGAAATTTAAGAAATGGATAAATGTAAATTAAAGAGTCATTGCAAGGTTTAATAATAAGAAAATAAATAAAGTTTACAATGCATACTAAAATAGTGTTAGGATTATTCTTCTGATGAATGTGATGGAAAATCTATTCTAAAATCAATCTGTTATTGGAGTAGTTCTAATGAATGCTTGTCAGCTTAAAAATGTGATGATATTGTTAAACCTATTTTTCAATGTTCTCAATACGAATTTAATGATAGACCTTGTTAAATGAGTAAGAATTCTGAAAATTGTGAATAATTTAACTGTGAAAATTTTAGTAAAGAACAATGTTAAAAATATAAACAATTTTGTAATTTTGATTAGACTTGTTAAAAAAATTAATGCAATTAATATTTAATAATGGAATCTTGTATTATAAATAACTGTCATTGGAATTCAAAAGAAAATACTTGCTCTGAATAAATTCATTGCTCTAAAATTTATGATGAAATTGAATGTAATAAATATAAATACAATTCCAGACCTTGCCAATGGATAGTTAATGAAGATATTAAGTATTGTACATAATATAGATGCAGTGATTTAGACAAATCGTAATAATGTTCTGGATCACGTATTGAATCAGAAGTTTGTGTTGAAATAAGTGATTCTATTTGTATATCTTGTGAAGAGATTTTTGATTCTTGTGATTGTCTATAATAGTCAAAATATTGTAGTTATGATATAAAAAAAGATAAATGCGCTTCTAAGAATTGTGAATCTTATTTAACTAAAGAAGAATGCCCTATAAATTATTGCACATTTATTGAATAGGTAAATTAAATTAATATTCTTAGAAATGTTAAATATAATGTTAATTTAGATATAATTATGATTCATGTAATGATATGAATTATTAATGTGAATGGAGAGAGGAAAATCAAAAATGTTAACCAAAGTGTGAATATATATTTGATGAAGAAATGTGTAGTTAAGTAGATTAATGCTCTTGGAATTACTAAGAAGATAAATGCTAAAACAATGAACCTATTATAATTCTTAATCCTTTGGGTTACGGAGAAATTATCATCACAGGCCTAATAACTTTATGCATATCCTTAATGTGAAATTAATTTCATTAAATTCATATTAGAATATTAATATTATTTATTTTTTATTTAATTAACAATATTTCTCAAATTATTTTCCTTCAGGGTTATACTAATTCATGAAGATTTAAATTTCAGAAAAGATAATTTAATAATGGATGGTGTTCATTTTTTTTTTAACTTTTTGATAATTTTATAGAGGTTTTTGGAAGGATGCAACTAAGAAAAATCACTAGTAGGAACAGAGTTTAATGAACAAATTTTAGATTAAAATCATCATTTTGAAAAAAAAAATGTTAAGCAATAACCAGATAAATATATTGCCAAGGAACAAATTTGTGTTTTTTTTTTTGTTAAACAATTAAATTCAATTACAATAAGTTATGACTTTTATGAATTACTTATTTATTTTATTTTTAGGAAAAATTAATTTACCTCTTTCTAAAAGAAAAAATCCCTTTAAAATATATGATAAAGAATAAGAAATTTTAGCTAAAGGGTGAAAATATCACATTTTCTAATCAAATAGTAAAACTACATTTTAATTACAATTAGTTTCTTATTAAAAAATATTAAATCAGTATATTATTAAGCATTTTTATTATAATCTAACAAAAAAAAGGTTAATGTATAATTCAACATTAGTGTTTGTTCTAAGTTTTTACTTCATTTTGTAGTTAATAGAGGCAGTAGCAAATTTATAATTCACTAAATTTGAAAATTAATAAATTGAATAAAATCTTCAAATTATGCTAGGATTTTTGATTATTTATTAGAATTAATAATAGCAAAATTTATCATAATATTTGTTAACTCAAATTTTAATAACCCTTTTTCTAAGAATCTTCATAATTTGATCTTAACAAAAAGGAAGCCAATTTAATGTTCCTTAAATTACTAAACTTTTTAAAAATTTTCTCATTTGTATTAGTCAAAAGCAAAAATTTACATATTTTTAAATATTACTAAGCTATCAATAAAAATTTGAGACTATTATTATTTATATATAAATAATTAAATTAATATATCTATTATTAATGATAATAATAATCTATTTGCTCTCTGCTTTTTATACTTAGGAAATAAGACAGAAATAATGCTTAGTATCTCGACCTGACATAAAGACTTGCTTTGAATAAACAAAACAATTTTTTTGTATTTAAATCAACTATAATAATAGGTGGCTTTGACTAATACTTTAACTCTTGTATTCCTATCTAAGATACTAATAATGGATGTGACTCGAAATTAAATGAAAAAGCTTGCATAAGTTAAATAAGTAATAAACAAGGAGAAGAATGTTAATGTATTTGAAACAGTTAATAATTTAGGTGTTTTTGATACAAGATGCAAAAATATTTCATAACATTAATTATCTAAGATTGAATGTATTGGAAATATTAGTAAATATGCTTGCCTGAATATAAGTAACCATAGATGCTATTGGGATTCATTCTGTAAAGAAATCTTAACAGAATAAATTCGAGGTTTATCATGTGAAGAATAATATGATCTTCCAGTCAACCCTCTAGCTTGTTCAACTCTATAAAATTTGGAATGTATTAAATTATTGAAAAATTAAAGGTATGAATACAGGATAGACTGGAGATTTTAAATGCATAAAAATATAACAAAACAATTATTCAACATTAAAATGTTCATAATTAGGGTTGACGGAGTTGGCTTGCATAAAAATACAAACACCTGGAGAAAAATGTATTTGAAAATTTAATTTAGGTATTTATAAAAATCGAGTTTGTCAACCTATTTAGAACAATGAAATTGTAAATTGCAAATAAAAAATCAATAAGTTGGCTTGTCTTTCAATAGAAAATCCTAATTTAAATTGTTAGTGGATAAATGATAATTGTTAAGAATTTTAATTTACAAACAAAATATTTGAAATTGTATCAGATGTTAACAAAAATGTTTGTATTAAACTTTAAGGATCTTATAAATATGTGAGAGAAAAATTCTAATGTGAAATAATTCCATTAGAAAATCATTATNGGCTTTGAATCTACTTTATTGAATTATTTTTTATATTATTATAACATATTTCTGATCATTAAAATTCAAAATATTTAAGGAGTATTCAATAAACAATTATTGAAAATACAAACATTATACACTATATTTGTACACAAATAAGAGAATTCTTTTTTATAAATGAATATAAAGTGATTTATTTTATAATCTAATTATTATAATATCTAAAATTAGCATTTATCATAAATATAAAAGCCTTTTAACTTTTCTATTTAGATCATTATTTAAATATCTTATGTAAATTCTAATTATTCTATTAATAATTACCCACACATATATTTGCAAGATAATATCATCCTGCTAAATTTATTCTGACAATCCAGAAGCATGTATAGAAAAAACAACTGACTATAAATGTACTTTTATTTTTTTTAAAATTAGGCAATTTCCATTATTTTGAGAGTAAGTGCATTCTTGAAAATTCGATATCTCTAGGTTGTATTGAAAATTTGAATCAAGGTGCTTGCATTAGTTAATAAACTGACCTTTATGGAAAAGAAGTTTAATGTAAAGAAGATTTTATAGTTAAGGTGTCTTTAATAAGAAGTGCTAACCTGTATTAAAGACAGAACTATAAAACCAAGGTTGTAGGACAACCTATAACAAATATGCATGCTTTAATGTAGTAAATGCAGATTGCGAATGGAAGAATAATTAGTGCTAGCCTTTGGAAGAAATAAAAGAAACAGCATATTCATGTGAAGAATCTTATTAAAAATCTGTTACATTTGTAACATGCTCTAAATTATAGAATCTATTATGTATTATTTGATCGAAATTATAAGGTATAAGTTCTGGATTTACAGGTGAATATGGTTGCATAACTGTCTAGGAATAGTAATTGAAGACTTTGTAATGTACTGAAAAGGGTTTGACAAAATAAGCTTGTATATCTATTTAAACAGAAGGATAGGAGTGTAAGAAAAATGATTAATCTATAGGTATCTTCAAAGATCAGATGTGTCGAAATATTGAAGAGTCAGAAATAAATACTTGTTAAATGAATTTAAATAGATGGGCTTGTTTATCAATTAAAAATCCTAAAATCTCTTGTTAGTGGATAGAAAATTCTTGTTATCCTTATATATATTTAAATGAAAACTAATAAAATGAAATATTAGAAGTGAATATCAGTGTCTGTCAATCCATAAAAGGATTATATAGATATGATAGAAAAAATACTAAGTGCATTCAAATAATTGACTTTTAAGATCTATCATGTAATACTGAAGGATTATCTAAGGAGGGATGTTTAAAAATAAAGAATAAAAATTGTATATTTATTGAAGGAAAATGTTAAGAATTAAATGAATAAGATCTTGAAAGTTATTTATGTAATATGGATTTAAATGAAATGAGTTGTGTTAATTTAAAAACAGAATTTTAATATTGTAAATGGAATATAAATAAATGTGAAAGAATATTTATGAATTAAGATATTAATTGTCCTTTAAATTTTGAAAATTCATCTATTAAAGTTAATGGAAATGTATGTTAAGCTATTTCTAAACCTAATATATTATGTAAATATGATTAAAATACTAATTTATGTATTACAAGTTTAATTGATGATGATTGTAATACACCATATATTAATTAAAAAGGATGTCTAAGTATTATTACTAATAAAAAAACATGTCAATGGACTAATAAAGCTTGTATTTCTATTTCTATTAATTAATATTTTACTACTTGTGAAAATATTGGACATGCAAATCCTTATACTTGTTCTTAAATTTATGAAAATAATACAAAAGGATGTTATTATCATTAAATTTTATAAAAATGCATTNGTGATTTATTTTATAATCTAATTATTATAATATCTAAAATTAGCATTTATCATAAATATAAAAGCCTTTTAACTTTTCTATTTAGATCATTATTTAAATATCTTATGTAAATTCTAATTATTCTATTAATAATTACCCACACATATATTTGCAAGATAATATCATCCTGCTAAATTTATTCTGACAATCCAGAAGCATGTATAGAAAAAACAACTGACTATAAATGTACTTTTATTTTTTTTAAAATTAGGCAATTTCCATTATTTTGAGAGTAAGTGCATTCTTGAAAATTCGATATCTCTAGGTTGTATTGAAAATTTGAATCAAGGTGCTTGCATTAGTTAATAAACTGACCTTTATGGAAAAGAAGTTTAATGTAAAGAAGATTTTATAGTTAAGGTGTCTTTAATAAGAAGTGCTAACCTGTATTAAAGACAGAACTATAAAACCAAGGTTGTAGGACAACCTATAACAAATATGCATGCTTTAATGTAGTAAATGCAGATTGCGAATGGAAGAATAATTAGTGCTAGCCTTTGGAAGAAATAAAAGAAACAGCATATTCATGTGAAGAATCTTATTAAAAATCTGTTACATTTGTAACATGCTCTAAATTATAGAATCTATTATGTATTATTTGATCGAAATTATAAGGTATAAGTTCTGGATTTACAGGTGAATATGGTTGCATAACTGTCTAGGAATAGTAATTGAAGACTTTGTAATGTACTGAAAAGGGTTTGACAAAATAAGCTTGTATATCTATTTAAACAGAAGGATAGGAGTGTAAGAAAAATGATTAATCTATAGGTATCTTCAAAGATCAGATGTGTCGAAATATTGAAGAGTCAGAAATAAATACTTGTTAAATGAATTTAAATAGATGGGCTTGTTTATCAATTAAAAATCCTAAAATCTCTTGTTAGTGGATAGAAAATTCTTGTTATCCTTATATATATTTAAATGAAAACTAATAAAATGAAATATTAGAAGTGAATATCAGTGTCTGTCAATCCATAAAAGGATTATATAGATATGATAGAAAAAATACTAAGTGCATTCAAATAATTGACTTTTAAGATCTATCATGTAATACTGAAGGATTATCTAAGGAGGGATGTTTAAAAATAAAGAATAAAAATTGTATATTTATTGAAGGAAAATGTTAAGAATTAAATGAATAAGATCTTGAAAGTTATTTATGTAATATGGATTTAAATGAAATGAGTTGTGTTAATTTAAAAACAGAATTTTAATATTGTAAATGGAATATAAATAAATGTGAAAGAATATTTATGAATTAAGATATTAATTGTCCTTTAAATTTTGAAAATTCATCTATTAAAGTTAATGGAAATGTATGTTAAGCTATTTCTAAACCTAATATATTATGTAAATATGATTAAAATACTAATTTATGTATTACAAGTTTAATTGATGATGATTGTAATACACCATATATTAATTAAAAAGGATGTCTAAGTATTATTACTAATAAAAAAACATGTCAATGGACTAATAAAGCTTGTATTTCTATTTCTATTAATTAATATTTTACTACTTGTGAAAATATTGGACATGCAAATCCTTATACTTGTTCTTAAATTTATGAAAATAATACAAAAGGATGTTATTATCATTAAATTTTATAAAAATGCATTTCAATAAATGTAGATTCAGAAGATGACTCAATAAAAGAATTTTTGGAAACCATTAGCTGCAATGACCCATCATTAGGACTTAATCGAGTAATATGTGCTTCTATCACAAAAAAGTTAACTCCATGTAGATGGAAAAAAGGCTAATGCACATTAGTAAAAGAAGAGGATATAAGGAATATCCCTTGTTAAAATCTAGAATTTGTTAATTATCAAGTTTGTGCTTTTGTTGATTATAAAAAATAGAAGTGTTCATATAATAGCAGTTTCAAAAAATGTGTTGAAATTATATATAATATGGAAATTTGTAACTAAGCTGGATTAAATCAATATGGCTGTGCAATGATTGAGAAAGGTTGTTACTTTAAAGATTACATTTGTAAAGACGTTGAATAAGAAATATCTTAATTATCATGCAATTCTAATTCACCTTCAAAATAAGTTTGTTTAGATATTTAAACAGAAGGGCAATCTTGTGGTTGGGACTAAAGATAAGGTAGATGTATTAATATGTAGATTCCTCTCAATTAACAATGCGAGTATTATAAAGATCAAATTTAAGTAAATTAGAATGTTTGCTCAAAAATAGTGATGTTATTTCCTTATTATGATCCAAGCAACCCAAATAAAACAAATTATTGGGGTTTTTGCAAATATAATGAAGAGATAAAAAATTGTGAAAGTGTAGCACCTAACCCAGTTTAAACAGATTAAACAGTTAATCCTGAGGCTAAATTTTATTGTTAAATCGAAAATCATGAAAAAAATAAATGTTGTACAAATGTTAAAGGAATTAACACTCACTCATGTATCTTTTATTCAAGTTAAGATCATGGTGTCTATTGTTTTTTTTATAATTTCAAATGTCAAGAGTTAACAAACAATTAAGTAGATATTTGGAATCCTGAATAAGTGAAAGCCTATTTTAATGAAATTAGATTACCATGTTCATCTGCATCAAAGAATTGTTGTCAGATGATTGATTGGTCTGTAAATGAGAAATGCTTTTATGATGGAAAAATCTGTAATAATTTTGATCAATAATATTACCCTAATCTAATAATTTTTACTTAGGAACCTTATACTACAAATAAAAATTTTTGTCTTTCATTATAAGCATCATCTATCCATTTAGCAAAATATTTTATTTATGATGAAGTTAATAAGAGATGTAAAGTATAAACAGAGTTTTCATTCAAAAGTTGTGAAGATGTAGATGGTAACAGAAATATTTGTCTAAGGTATACTGAAAATTTTTATTGTAAATGGGATATAACTAGATTAAAATGTATTACAATTTATGAAGATGAACTATATGATATGAAAACTTGTGATCTCAATACAAATATCAAAATATGCAATAATAATAAACACCAAGGTTGTTATTTTAATTATGATTCTGATGTGTGTATGCAAGCTCCTGTTGATTTAAGATGTGGTGATTTACCAGAGATAAATGAGTATGTATGTAAATCCTTGACAAGAGAGCCTTGTGAATATACTTAATCTTAAGTTGAT